ATTAAATGAATGTAAGAGAGTTTAAATTTAAAATTATAACATGGTAGTGGGTCTTAATGTATTAAGAAGTATTAGGAAAGTATTAGGAAGTATTAATGATAATTCATTCTCGATAATATACTTTGTAATGATTATTTAAATTGTAATCGTTCGTTTTCTTTTTTTTTTTTTTTTTATATTCTTTTCAAATGTATTTTATTATTGATCCTTTTTACCTTTCTTTTTTGTTCTTCCTCTTTTTTTCTTTCGTTTTTTTTTTCTTTTCCTTTTCCTTACTTTTTTTCTTTTATTCTTACCGAATCTAAGAACCGCGTGGTATTCCAGAAAAATCTTACGCGCAGAATCGTAGGTGGCGCCATTGTCGATTCGTTTTGTTGTCATCAGCCACCACATTCACACTAAGTTGTTTTTAATCCGATTTTCATTGGAACATTTAGTTTTAAAATAGTATAAATTATAATCTTCCTTTTTGACAAAAACATAATGCAACCAATGATACGAATTACTATTAACAAATTTTCATAACAAGTAATCGAAATAGTGTGCCCTCATAAATTCGAAATCGAGGTTAACTCCTGATAAGTCCACTTTTCAGACATTTCTAAGTAATGTAAGTACATCAAACCGATCATTATCATTATTTATATTTAATAACAATTCAAACAATATATATATATATATATTTTTTTTTTATATACACAATATCATTCCTCATGTAATATTTCATGATATCAGATATTGGTCAAAATTGGATCATCCAATGAATATCATTTCGATCAATATTATCGATGATATATTAAAATCATTTCAATTAAAAATGATTTTAATTATTCATTATTATTAATTATTTTTCACGATATTTATTATCTCCATAGGTGACAATATTCGTTTGGTAAATGGTGAATTATCGGTGCCATGGAAAGAAGAATAAAATTAAAAACTTTGAACAGTCATATAACTTGCAAGATATGCCGTGGTTATTTAATAGATGCTACTACAGTAACAGAATGCTTACATACATTTTGCAAAAGTTGTTTGGTCAAACATTTGGAAGAAAAACATACGTGTCCAACATGTCAAATAGTAATACATCAATCGCACCCACTTCAGTATATCAGTTTCGACAGGACAATGCAAGATATTGTTTACAAATTAGTTCCAGATCTCCAAGAAAGTATGTCTAAAACTATTCGTTGGTTCTAACCTTTTTTTTTTGCATAGATATTACGAATACATATATTATAATTTTTTTTTTTTTTTTAGGTGAAATCAAAAGGGAAAGAGAATTTTATAGAGCGAGAGGTTTACCATGTCCCAAGGATATTTTACCAAACGCTGCAGAGGTAGAAGAAGAAAAAGCAACTGCAGATGCTCATGCAGAATCAGATTATCATAGAGCTGACGAACAGGTTATTATTATTATTATTATTATTATTATTATTATTATTATTATTATTATTATTATTATTATTAATATTATTTAAAAGAAAATTGAATTATCTAAATTAAAGTTAATATATTTATATGATATTACAGGTAAATGTATGCCTGGAATGTATAAATGCTAGTTTGAAAACTTTAAAGCGAAGATTTATCAGATGTTCCGCACAGGCTACAATTACGCATCTTAAAAAATTCATTGCCAAAAAGGTTCTTAGTGGCATGGAAAAATATAGAGATGTATGTATACAATTAATGCGTTAACATTATAAATAATTGTTTATCTGTTCAATTGTTCATTCATTTTCTTTTTTTGTTCTTTGACAGATTGATATTTTGTGCAATGATGAATTACTAGGTAAGGATCACACTTTAAAGTTTGTATATGTGACAAGATGGAGGTTCCGGGACCCACCCTTAAGATTACAATATCGACCACGAATAGATATTTAAAACTATGTTTTTTACATAGAAAAGTTACAAAAATCTCGTTATGAATCAATTATATATATATATATATATATATATTAGTGCATATATATATACATATATATATATATATATATATATATATATATTAGTGCATATATATATACATATATATGTAAAATATATATATATATATATATATATATATATATATATATACATATATATATATATGTAATATATATATATATATATATATATATATATACATGTAAATATATACATATATATATTTTATCATATATGTGTAAAAAATATATATATACATATGTATGTAAATATATACATATATATATTTTATCATATATATATGTGTGTAAATATATACATATATATGCATATATATATATATACACACACACATACACGTATATATATATAAAATTCGTTGATGCATCATTCGTTGCAATATTTATACATTTGTGTTCTTTACAAACAACATAAATCTTTAAATGAGAAACATCTTTCTTATTGTTAAACTACATTGATGCTCAACAATTAATGGTACAATTCTTTATCACGTAAGATCTCTGTTTGAAGAAAACTGATTGCATTTGTGAACATGCCTTATTTAATTTTTCTATTTAATATACCTCAAATTAAGTTTTTGCGTATATATTTTCAACATTAATTTAATGTTATTAAGTAAATGTTAAATATATAAAAGCTTAAAAAAATTTTTTTTAATTTTTGTTTTTTAAATAAGCAATGTCTCATTTAACTTGTGTAAATTGAATATTTACAAAAATGATGTCAACGTTTCGTGGAATCATGTTTATATTTTAAATAAGTCTACGTCCTAATTGGATACAAAATTGTTGTCGTCTTATCGATAATCTATTTATTTTGATATCTTATGTCGATATGAATCGAGCGACATCGTTTTATGCACATAAAAAATTAAAAAGAACTTCGCGAAATTATATATTGTTATTAAAAATATCGTACGTAGTATATGACGAAAAGCTAACTAATATCGATTTCAAACAATGTTATTGATTTGGGCACTATCATAAAATGTGCTTTATTTGTTTATTATTAATCATTTGGACAACAACAATTTTGTTACTATGTGACGTCTAATTAAGATATTGAGTAAATACGGAAAGCAACTTGCGATCATTGCATTCCTTAAAATTTCATTAAATTACGAGATTTTCTATTTTCATATTGACTGACATTGTGTTTATTGTAATTTAATCTATGACGTTTAACGATTGAGTTTATTTTTTCCTTTTATTGCAAGTATGTATTTATTTATGTAGTCAAATTGTTGAAGGTATTTTTGTTTATTTTCTTTTTTTTTTCTTTTTTTTCCTTTTTTTTTTTTTTTCTTTTTTTTGTTTTGTTTTTTTGTAAACATACTTGTAATTATTGTTATACCATACTTATCACCGAACCTGCCATGTAAACGCATCAATAGATAATTTCATATTATTTTATTTGAAAGCGCAACAATAATCATCAGAGACGGTCTTTCCTGCGAATATTATCTTCTATCTAAGAAAAAACCGTCGCACTTTCTAAATGTCTAATTAAATAGAAATTTGTTTTCATTATAATTTTCATCACTTACACCCACCACACACAAATATATATAATCTGACTGTACATAAAATATTTTTGACAAAATTCTATATACATCATGCGCGCATAGATGCAGCTTTGTACAAGAAGCAAGATAATACAAATTTTGGATCTAGCATATTTCTAGATCTTGTTAACTTTCTATGCTTTATGCGATGCATATATTAACAGATTCTACCCGAATTTTCCCTCGATATTTATAAACCTACAATGATAATTTTATCGACAAAACTAAATATTTTGAAAAGACTTTTGTCGAGTGAAACTTCGGGTTGCGAACTTATTTCTCATAGTAGATCAAATCATTTTTATGAAACGATATTAAGGAAAAAAGACGTGTGATTGTATATACAAGTATTAGAATGTTGAGAAGTGTATTTTGCAAAGTAGGAGCTGCGCTTAACAGCGTTAGGGCTTGTATATTGTACACTGTGTGCGTATATCTATAAATTATTAAATAAATATGTTTTGTACAGTAACTGTACCAATGATCGCCGATATATTTTCAACGTCCGTTGTTGGTAGAATAAAAGAGCAAGAAAAATGTTTTTAATTAAAATATTATCCATATATTATATTATATTATATTATATTATATTATATTATATTATATTACATTATATTATATTATATTATATTATATTATATTATATTATATTATATCATAAAGAACAAAAACGAATCTATTTGAAAATTTTCTATAAAGAAAAAATACCGCCGTTCGTGACGTTGTACCGTCACGAACCAATCGTAATGCGATTTAAACGAATCGTCGAATCAACCAATCATCGAGCAAAGATTTTGGCGCTAAACATCCAAAGGATCAAATTTATAAATAATATTAGTAACAGTTTATCGTCGTTCCTATCGAATGGCGCTAATTGTCATATTCCCTTTCTAGACGCGAAACATTTCCGACAGAGAGCGCTACCATCGATAACGATATAAGCGCACTCATCAACAACGGCATATATGCGTAACTAAAAGAGAATAGAAAAAATCTCTTTATATTTTTCCCGCACGAGTCTTGGTCGTTGCCGCTGCCGCCGCCGCCGCTTCTGTCGCCGCCGCCGCCGTCACTGACTGGAAACGAGTGGTAAAAGATAAATGTGTACGAAGATCGCTTACGCGACTCGGACATTTCTCGATGTACTTTCGACGCGATAAAAGAAAATCTCGGTGTCGTCTCGTGTGCCGTCGTCATCGTCGTCTTTGTTGTTGTTATTATTATTATTGTGCCATCGTTGAAGCGACTCCGTCGTCGTTTTGATAAATGAGCCTACAGGATAGCCTCTTCGCCGAAGATGTGGAGTACGACGTGAATCTATTTTTGAAAGACAATAGAAAAAAAAGGTACGTTATTTTACTAAAAATAATTATAATAATAACAATAATAATGATAATAATAATAATGAAAGAAATAATTATAAAAATAGAAATAAACAAAACAGTAAAAAATACTCATTCGTATTTTTTTTAATGGGAAGAAATGAGAGAAGAAGGGGAGAATGGGGATGAGGGTTAAAAGGTCGAAAGTAATTGTACGGCGGAATTCTCGAAGCGCGTTGATGGTAAAGAGGAAGGGAAAAAAGAAGAGCAATTTCATCGTTTGCACGTTCTTTCACGCGCGAATCCCTCCTTCTAGCGTAACGGTCACGCAATCGACGGAACCTCATCTTATTATGGCGAACGAGTCTCTGTATATACATATGTATCTATATACGACGTACGTACGTACACCTTCCCCCACCGCTCGCCAACTCTACACCCCCATCCCTCCCCCCTATCCCCCGTACTATCCCTCGTCGCTTCGTCATCTTTTAGTCCGTTATATTAATAAATTCGAATTTACGATTATGGATAAGAAGATAAAAAAGAAAAAAAAATATATATATATATATATATATATATGTATATATAATTCGATCGAACGGACAAACGAACTAACAGAATATGAAAAGATTTTCTTTCATTCCCTGCCTTACACACACACACACACGCACACAACAAACATACATACACAACATATAATATACATATTAAAAACGATCAGTCTATTGACTCCGCTCTCTCTTAAGCCAAACATAGCTTTTATATAAATATATATCTGAGTTTATACCTCCGAGGAATATCCGATGTACATACATACATATATATATATAGATATATATATATACATAAATGGATAAATATTGTTTCTCTTTAATGTTTCGTTTCGTATAAAGCGTCTTTCAAAAGCAAAGTAATAAAAGAAACAATATCATTATCGGATAGTAATTCAATAATTAAAACATATATATATATAAAAGTAGAAGAAAGTATGAAAAATTAAGAGTAATCCTTTTCTAACGTATATACTTATTAACCATTATTAATTTTCTCGTTAGGATCGTGATTGAAAAAAAAAAAAAAAAAAAAAAAAGAAAGAAAAAAGAAAATATAAGAAGATACAAATGTATTATCATTTATACATTTCATTGTACTATGACGAGGTGTATCGATCGCGATTTGTCATGCTTTTTTTTTTCTTCCTCCTTTTGTTTTCTCTCTTTCTCTCTCTCTCTCTCTCTCTCTCTTTTTTTTTTTATATTGAAACAAACACAATGGTCTAACCGAAAACGCCGGCGGCGGCATTATGTTAAATCTGACGACATTAGATATGAATTATTGATTAGAAAGAAAAAAAGAAAAAGAGATTGATAAATGGATAGATAGATAGATAGAGATATGGAAAGAGTGAGAGAAAGAATGAAGAGGTTATGGGAGAAAGTATACGAAATATATATTACGTAAAAGCGTGAGTTAACTTCCTCTCCCTCTTTTCTCTTCTGTATTTTCTTCCTCCTCCTCCTTCTCTTTCTTCTCCTTTTTCTTTCCTACGAGGTTCCTCGGTCCATTATATCGAGTTAGTCGGCGGTGGTCAACGGTAACCAAGCAGTGCGACATCGGTATAAGCCGGCTAAGATCGGAACCGTTCGTTCGAGATCGACGTTGCCGTTGTTACATTAAAATTCCGAGCTCTTGCGCTTTTCACGATCCGCGATCAGAGAGAGTACACTCGATCGATCCTTTCGCTTTTACAGGGTCCTTGTGTTTCCTCCTGTAAACAACTATCGACGATATCTCATACATCAACTTGTGCAGGATCGATTTGCCGATTTCCTGCGCACCTTCTCCATCGGCCAAGGGCTCGACAGACGTACCGTCGTCTGCTACAAGACGGACGTTATAAGGTAGAAAGAGAGAAAGAGAAAGATAGATTAAGACAGACTGACAAGAGAATGAAAGAAAGAAAGAGGGAGAGAGACAGAGAGAGAGAGAAAGAGAGAGAGAGAGAAGTCCGTTTCTTTGCGAATTATCTTAACCTAACCTAATATAAAATTATTAGTATATCCCGGATCAGATATTATACGTATACATATATATTATATGGTATATATACACAAATATAATTGTAGTAAATATTATACATATATATATATATATATGTATGTATATATAATTATATTTTATGTCTTTTAAAACGTAAAGTTATACGCGACACCGTTAACTACGATAAAAACACATACGCCACACGAAACGCATACACACAGATACACAAATATATATAAGGCTTCTTTTCACTTTCGTTATGAGCTTAACGACTGACATTACGTATGTATGTATATAGCTGTATATTTGTCCTACTACCTATTATTATTTTCAAACGGAAGAAATTGAAACGTATTTTATATGCCGATCATATGCGATTTTTCTTTTGATTATACGCATGATTTAATATATAAAATATATAATTTATATATATATATATATAATATAAAAATTAAATTATTTAAGTTATATATATAAAATATATTATATTATATATATAAAAATTATATATATATATAATAATTAATTTTAATTTTTTGTATTTCTTTTTTTTTTTTATTTTAACCATCTATATAAAAACCGTATGTATGTGAAGTAACATGCTTTTTTTTTCTTTTTTTTTTCTTTTTTTTTTTTTTTTATTTTAAGTTATATACATAATATAATATAATAATATGTACTATGTTATAATATATATATATAGTAGGTTCCAAGGTTTTTTATTTTTTTTATTTTATTTTTAATTACTTAATTTATATATATATATATATATATATATATATATATATATATATAAACATCTATCGGATCGTTTATATAAGAAAAAAATCTTCATATGTATAAATTACACGCATTATGCATACATATACACGTATATACGCACATCATACATACATACATATATGTGTACATAGAGGGTATATCATTTAAATGGGAATATTAAAAAGCCATGATTTTTTTTTTTTATGTCTCACATATACGTACATAAAGAAACAAATCAACTGTTTATGCTTATCTGGAAAAAAAAAATATATATATATATATACATAGTTCTTTTTTTTTTTCTCGTGCATTCGTAATAATTAACTTCGTAAAATAATTGAACAAAAAAAAATATATATTATATTATATATATGTACGTGATAATAATTAACCATTGGTATGAACTTTGTGTTTTTTTTTTCTTTTTTTTTTTTTTTTTTTTTTAACTCGAAGAAATTGAGAGTATATATATATATATATTTATAATGTCAGAGATATTCTGACTTTCTCGAAACGATTACGAAAGAAAGGGAACGTACCGCGAAATCTCGATGGAGGAGGAGGCACGTCTCTAACGAAAGTGAAACTGACCGGCTCTCGTGACTCAAGGTCGTATATACGTTCGCTCGTGCACGTATATAATATAGTATAGAAAGACATACACGTATGTTACGTACGTACATAGTTACGTACACATAAGCGTCCGTGTTCTTTTTCAGTTTCTTTTCTCTTATTTTTCTCTCTTTTTATATGCCAGCGTTTCTCAAAATTTTTATAACATACAGATCAATAATTTTTTTTTTTTTTTTTTTTTTTTTAATTTGTTTAATTATTTATTGTTGTTATTATTATTATTATTATTATTATTATTATTATTATTATTATTATTATTATTATTATTATTAATATTAATATTATTATTATCATCATTTCTTCTTTTTTTTTATAAGACAACATATTAGAGATAAAAAAACAAAAAAGAAATGAAATAACTTTTCATTCTAACCTCAAATAAAAATCTGATTATAAAGTATTAATTAAATATTTATAATATACGATTTTGAAGAATTTCATAGATTAAATTCACTTTATATGTAAATAATTAAAAAAAAATTATATGCATATGCATGTTTATTATTTTAAAGATACGTCGCTAATTACCGCGATATTCTCTTGCGATAAGAACTGACTGTAGTAAGAACATTTTACGAAGAACTATCTAAAGAAAAAACAAAGAGAGAGAGAAGAAAAAAAATCTGTACAAATTAAAATCACTTTCCTCACTTTGGCATTGTAAAGTGGCAACAAAAAAAAAAAGAAAAAAAAAGAAAAAGAAAAAAAAACAGATATCATTTAACGACCAATTAAAAAATTTATCATGTTTAAATTGAGAAACGCTGGTTCATAGAAACATACAGTGTATTTCAAATCTAATCGCACGTATCTCATCTTTGTTTCTTTATTTCTAAGAAATTATCTAATCAAAAGTTTCTATTTTCTTTCTTTTCTATTTTTATTTTTGTACTTTTTTATTATTTTTTTTTTTATTTTTACAACTAAATATATAATATATAAATTAAATAATAAATATATATTATAATATATACATATATATTTATTATTTAATTTATATATTACGTGCGTGCATGCACACACATAAATTATATATGAAGAGTTTGTGTTTTGTATGCTATTAAAGGGAGCCAGGATCAAATGCTGGAGAACATAAAGAAAGTCCTACGAAAAATTTGTCCTGTGGAATGGGTGTTGTAGAACGGCGATCTCCACCGAAATCACCGGAACGTATTCGTCCTCAACAACAACAACAACAACAACAATACCATTATCATCATCATCATCATTATCATCATCATCAGCAACAACAACAACAACAACAACAAAGGCAAACAGAGCCAAGGATCGTCTCAAACTGTAAGTATTCTAAAATCTAAATCTTTTATATTTCAATCTTTTCTATTATACTAATTGCTCTAAAGTAACTTACGGTAACAACGGTTAACTGTTATATATATATATATATATATATATATATATATATATATATATATATATATATATATAGGGTGTCCAAAAAACATAGGACTAAACTTATATTATGTATTACTGAGGTCATCAAATGGATGGATAAAGTTCATGTATAAACACTCATGTCCAAAAATGCTTTATTTAAAAGGTATGTATGATTTATTTTCATTCGTTGCATTAATGATTAGTCAACGATTAGTTGATCTCCTAGATCACTCTGACATAAGTTGCCTTTTGGGAACTTCTATTTATGAAGATCACGCAAAAGAGTTGGTTTATAAAAAATACGATAGAAACAAAAGATTAATCTTGGAAATAGTATTTAAAATGTATTTAATATATTTTCCAATTATATGCAGTTGGAGTATTTGAATATTTGAGTTTGATAATTATAATACTAATTCGTTCGAATGAAAGCGTTTGTTAGTCTTGCAGGATGAAGGAATTTTCAAATATTTCATATAATTAGGATAATAAATCATAAATATCTTTATAAGTAATTATATATCTTTACAATAAAGGATTTTTGGATATAAGTTTGTATAAACTTTTTTTCATCTATTTGATCTTAGTAATATAAGTTTCGTCTCATGTTTTGTGGACATCCTGTGTGTGTATGTGTGTGTATACATATATATATATATATATATATATATATATATATATACACATATGTACACATATACATATACATTTTTCTCTTATTTCTTCAGCCAAGTCCATTGCACCTGCCGTAGAAATCTATGTACCACCTCCGGCCAGAAAAGCAAGAAATGAACTACGTTCGCAACCTCGAGAAACTTTAACTAATATTAAAACTGAGGACGGTAACGATAACAACGATATCACTGTATTACCCTCCACCTCATCTTTTATGAACGTAAGGTAAGCCGTTTAATTGCAAAAAGAAGAAGAAGAAGAAAAAGAAAAAAAATAGTAATGCTAGTGTTCCTTAGTTTTTGCCTTGACTTTTTCATCAATTTTTATATAAGGAAATTAATTGTTTCAATAGTTAATCGTTATGAACTATTCTGAAAAGTGTACCTAAATGATTTTAAACCCTTTTTCTATACCTCAGAGACGGATATATTATTGGCTTTTTCATTTTTATATTAATATAATTTTAAACTCATATATAATTTCATTTTACTCATGGAAATATTTTTTTTCTTTTTTGAAAGTAATTTTATTACACTTTTTGGCGAAACAATCACCGTTTGTTTCTATCAACTTTTTTTTATCTGATGCTCTATAAGATTTATACATTAACTTTTTAATTTGGGTTGCGAAACAAATGATTGAATTGACCTCGTCATCATTTTATTAAAGTTGAAAGACTATTTGTGGGAAAGTCAGACATTGATATTAAAAAAAAAAAAAAAAAAAAAAAAAAAAAAAAAAAAAAAAAAAAAAAAAAAAAAAGAGAGAGAGAGAAAAGAAAAAAAGTGATAATCGCAAGAAGACAACAAATCAGAACAAATAAATTAAAACCGCTCAAACGTGTTTTTTTTTTTTTTTTTTTTTTTAATGTTGCTCGATCTGGATTCGTTGCGTCGTATAAAAAAAAAAAAAGTAAAAACTTTTTCAAATGACTTTTCATCGGTATCCAATTTCTCTAATATACAATTGTATGCAATAATTCGTTTGTCCACTTGAAAGAAAGATCAATCCTAACGTTCAATTTAATGATCAAAAATAAAATTTACGATACTTTAATATTTTACTTTTACGAATTTCAAACTCACGAGTATTTAGCGGTCGTTACTTGACTCATAGTCCCTCTCATATCTTATTATTGACAATTTCCAATCGCAATAGCTATAAGTGTGAATAATATCTCATTGATTGGAATTATTAATTAACGAGACACGTTTGCAAAATACATTTATTATTTGTAAAATCCTAAATGGATTGGATTAATGAGTAGGAATTAATTGGATTATAATGAGGATTATGAAGATTACTTGATCTTATTAAATCTTTTATTAGATCCTTTTGGTTTGAATTTCATAGATCAGCAGAATTATCAATAAAATTGTTGTCCAGATTATTAGGAATACATAGTCATATAGATTTTTAAAACAAACTTGTAATTAATTTCATATTATTGTTTCTTATTTGTCGATACAAATTTTTCAAGAAATAATCGTCAAAGAAGACCAGATCGTGCTGTTTACGTGCCAAGGCATAGAAGAAGCGTGGATGGGGAAATTGGTTCGCGTCGTATTTACGAGGACAATCTTATATTGCAAGATTCATCGCGATCAACATTAATAACGGGAACTTCCTCCAACAGCAACGTTATTTGCGAAGAACAGCAGGAGTTACGGCAACAGCAACAACAACAGCGAACAGAGGAGATCGTATTATCATCGTCGAAATTAAATAACGTGACTGAACGTTTAACGTCAAATATTATTGAAAAGGATAACTCGAGTACGAACAGGGATCATTCACCGCATATTCTTGTTGTTGATTCGTCGAAATCATTAAGCGTAAAAGTGAAAGAAAATACGGAGGAGGAAGAAGAAAAACGGCAAGCGGTGAAACTCCTCGAGGAGGAGGAGCAAGAAGAGAAGGAGGAGGAGGAAGAGAAAGAGGAGGAGAAGGAGTCAACGATCTCAAAAACGGACGATTGTTCTACGCACGAGAAAGAGAAGAAAGAGGAAGAGGCAAAAGAGAAGGAAGAAGAAAAGAAGGAAACAGTGAAAGCTGAACTATTACAAAGTGATGATACATTGGTATCTTTGAAGGAAAGAAAATTTATCGATGATAATAATAAAGAAGTAAGGACCAAGGAATTATTATTATTATTAACCGAGGAAGAGGAGGAAGGGGAGGAGGAGGAGTCAATAGAAATTTTTACAAACGTGCAATCATCGTCATCCTGCGAAAAGGAAAGACATTTTAACGATAAAACTCGTAATAACGTCGAAGAAAAAGAAGAAGAAGAAGAATTGGTCGAGTCCGAGATCGTTAATAAAAGATCCATAATGTCGAACAACGTCGAGAGAGATGAACCAATAGAAAATGTTGAATTGGATCGTAACGAGACCATCGTTAAGAATAATAACGAGAGTAACAATACCATACGACAAAATACAATGGTGTCTAACGTTCTTATAATATCCGATGTAATAACTGATAAAGAATCACCGAAAAAGGTTGTTAAGGAAGTAGTACCGGTGCCGGTTACTGTTGCACCGCCAGAAAAAAAAGCAAAGAAGGTCGAACGAGCAAAAAGTAAACCAGCACCGCCTCCCTCGCCTCCGATTAAAATTAGCAGAGACGAATGCGACTGGGATAGTTTGTTCGACGACAATGGCGATTGTTTGGATCCGTCATTGATAGAAGAGGTAGATAAAATATTAAATGATGATTAAATCTAAATTTAATTTAGATTTGCGATGCAATAATAATATATATATATATTTTTTTTATAACAAATGAGATACGAGATATCTATCAAAATTTATCTAAAATATAGAAATAATTTTGTTTCTTTAGTTAACATCGGCCGTCGGCGAGGTTATGATAGAACAACCAAAGAACGATTACAAAATTTATACCAAACAAGTCGTTGAGGTCTCTAGCGATGAGTTTGCTCATGTAGTTGAAATTTACAATTTCCCATCGGATTTTAAAACTAGCGATTTGGCCGCTGTTTTTAGCCCATTCAAAACTGGAGGCTTTGAACTTAAATGGGTCGACGATACCCATTGTCTTGGTGTTTTTAGCAGTCCTCTCATTGGTAAGATAAATGTCTTAAAGAAAATTTAAGAAATTTAATTAAATTATGACCAACGATTACAACCGTAAAGTTAATCCATAATAATATTAATAATAATTAATAATTAATAATAATAATAATAATAATACGTTAAAATAATTTTTAACAAAAGCCGCAGAGGTATTGGCTTCGGAACACCCGTTCGTCAAAACCAGACCTCTCAGCGAAGCTACGGCATTGAGTAAAACGAAGGTAAGAAAAAGCGCTGAATTTTTACAACCATACAGAAGTCGTCCGGAAACTTGTGCCGCTTTGGCGAGAAGGTTGGTTACAGGTGCTCTAGGTGTAAAATTAGCGACAGCGAGACAGGAACGCGAACACGAAAAGAACGTATTGCGCGAAGCTAAAGGTAAAACGCCTCTTGCACAGTGGTAAAACTTTTTTCTTTTTCCTTTTTTTTTTTTAAATAAATTTTTTTTTTTTTTTGTTTTAATAAATTTTTTTTTTTTAATAAATTTTTTTTTTTGTTTATACATAAAGAGATAAATAAGTATTTCGTTTTCGTTTTTATAGAGAAAAGAAGATTGGCCAATAAACAACGAGAAGATGCTTGGGAAGGTATTATCCCTCAAAAGTAGCATTACCTTCTTTTAGTGGTCCAATGAACTGATGGAATAAGATATACCTCGTAATCGTATGACCTACGTTGCCTCTACACGTATTTGTGCCTTACTCATCTATGTTTTTTATCGTAAACAGTACGTACGTACTTTTAGAATCGGAAGGATTACTGATTTAGGGGTAATAATTTTAAGTGATTAGTTTGATAGATGAGTGTGGCATGAGAGAAAAAAAGGAAAGAAGTAATAATTATGAGATTTTTCATGTGTCCCTGTTACTTTTTTTTCTTTTTTCTTTTATCTTTTTTTTTTCTTCGTATATTAACGAAAAGAGTAAAAAAGGAAGAAAACGAAAAATAATATGGGATACGAAATGAAAAGTTAATTTATCGTACTTACATATCATAAAAAACAAAAAAACAAAAAAAAAAAATATATATATATATATATATATATATTATATATAATACGCGAGCTATTTAGTGAATTTCATTTTTTTTCCTTTTTTTTTTTCCTTTTTTTTTTTTTCCTTTTTTTCTTTTTTTCTTTTTCGATACGTCATTTTCCAAGTGACGATCAGAGACAGGATATATAATCGTATTTTTTACGTACGAATCTCCCGGGAAAGAAAAATTTAAGAAAAAGAGTATTGTTGAACAAATCTCTCCTAATACATCCCCACCCCACTCACCACCACCCAACCAATTCCTCCCCTCAATCAATCAATCATCAAACCCCAAAGGTTAGTAACTTTTGAAGATTTATTAGGACGGAGTCTGTTTACGAAGAAGTTGTGAAAATGGCATATTGTTATAAGTTTTTACTCTGTGCAATTTTATGAAAGACAATAAATTAGGATTTTAAGATATTATGATGAGGATTTGTCGTATACGCGTGCTTATCGATTATTATGTATATTAAATATATGTAATGGAAAAAAAAAGGTCTTTTTCGAAAGTTACACGATTTGATAAATTTTCAAAATGTATTCATCGAATTATATATATATATATATATATATCGTAAACTAATTCCGTTAGAAAGCAAACTGTTTTTTACTTTATGCCTGTTAAATAAGAATGTTGAGAATCGACGCACAGTCACGATGTTTATGAAATACCATAGATTTTCAAAAGAAACACAACAATAGATTGTATTTTTATATATAACTGTTATAAATAAAAAAAGGTCATATATAATACCACCAAAATCCTAGTCAATGTATGGATAAAGTGTTACCTTATATTACGTGTTACGTTTTCAATCTGTCATACCTTGTGACAGGAAGAATTTATTGGAATAAAGTTATTTTACGTATTTGTAGCGATAATGCATGGTTCTTTTTTTTTCCTCCTTCATGAATGATATAAAAAATCTATACATATATATGAACACGATAATATTACAGAATGTAGTTTGCTTTTTTTTTTTTTTTTTTTTTTTTTTTGTTATTTCCATGAAATAACAATCCTAATGGACTCATTGCTTTATATATATATATATAGAACAGTTGTGTTCATTGATTATTTACCATTTGCCACCTTTCTTCTTTTTCTTTTGCTGGACTTTACGTTGTTGTTGGCGTGGTCCAGATACTTCCACGGTAGTATTATGTCGAGGATTAGGGGAAGGCTTAGTATTGACAGGCATTTTTGTAATATCACTACAAAACGTAATATAATCAAATATTAGATGGACGTTCTTAATTATTTTCTATCAAAAAAATTTCAACTCATAAATAATTATTTACGTACTATAGATCACTTGCACCAGTTGCCACACCTTGCGTACCCTTCATTGCTACATCTCGATTTCTTCTATCTCGCTTCTTTCTGAAATTACTACGTTCGTGCCTTGGTAACCATCTCTCAGGATCGGGAGGAACATTTGGATCGTAATTCTTCGGTAATTTTCCTTTACGCTTGCGAGTATTACGTTTCTTTAATGTCTGGTCCACAATTGGTTTACTATACGTAGAAAATGAATATTTGATATACGGGTTATACAATTTACTTTGTAAGATGAATCAACGACAGACGATGTAATTAAAAATTACTAACCCAGGAGAAGGTTCTACTTTCTTTCGGACAACTTTTGTACCAATAACCCAATTGCTACTTTCTAATGCGTCGACATTTATCGTTTCTGCGAGATCGTGTAGCGGTGGTAACCTTTTGTACAAAAGGTGAGCTTTCGCAGGACAAAATTGTACATAGGCCACTACTAATTGTGCCAGAGTTTTCGTATCGGATGGAGACGAGTCTACTAATTCCTGCAATATATCTGCAGCAACCTGAATTTCTCCACCACGTAGATAAAAGTCAGCAGCTTGTCGCCATAAATCGCCTAAATTTGTTTTGGTTGCCTAAAAAAAGAGAATCAATTTTTTTTTGTAACAATTTATATATCAAACAAGCACTTACGTAATTAATATTTAGTTTTCTACAAACTTTATACCTTATGTTTTTTATAATAATTTACTGCATTTTTCAATGCAGCTGACGCTCTATCTCTATTATTGTCTGCCATATGAAGAGTAACCAGCGCACTAACTACGCCAGGCAACGATCTATCAGATTCTGACAAATTCTCGAGTATGTTAATGGCCTCTTTTTTTTCGGTATGACTCAAAAGAAGTTGAACTGCAACTAGTTTCATCTGCAATTCCTTTTCTGCAGTTGCATACTCCAATAATAATTTAGCTGCATCTTGAGATTTACCATCCTTGCTAAGTTGAATAGCTTTTACAAACATAGCATCTGCTGCCAAAGCTGGATAATCTTTTGCAAGTTTATTACACAATTGTTGACATTGTTCTCCCTATAAGTCAGAAATTAATTCATAATATATAGAAACATAACTAAAGTACATGTCCACTAAAACTACTTGTTAATTATCTCTATTACCTGATCGGTATATAAGGCTAATAAACATTGATTGTATGCTATAGTTCTTCTTTGCCTTGAAGTCAACTTATGCTCCAAACTTTCGTGCGTGGCACTTTTCATTCTTTTCTTACTATCAAACACGTTTTGATCTTTGTTCAAACAAACGAGATTATTGCTTGCTACGGCGACTAACGCAATGTCATTTGGTTTTGATTTCAAAGCAGCTGTGTATAAAGTTTGAGCTTCTTTCTCACGTCCTAGGAGTTGCAAGCAACATCCTAGTTGTACTCTTATAATCCCAAGTTCATTTTCTATTTCTTCCTCTGTGGCTCCATCCTCTTCTAAACCTTCCTTACACATTTTTTCTGCTGCTTTCAGTTTCTTTTCTGCTTCTACCAACATACTCTTATCATTTAAATTTCCAAGCGCAATCAATTGACAAGCTGCATTATATGTTAACTCATAAGTATCCTCTTGCAATGATGGAAGTTCCATAGACTGAAAAATTATATTAAAGAACATTGAATCAATTAAATAAAAGCAATGAATATTTCCATAAATAATATACATCCAAAACTCACTGAATTTTCAATTGTCAAATTCACAAGAACTGCAGCTAGATTAGTTTCTCTCTCGTCTGCATATTCATCGTCTGAATTTTTTATAATGTCTCTGTAAATGGTGAAACATTCCTCGTATTTTTCAAGTCGATATAATATTTGTGCTTTCAATTCTTTTACTTTTAAAGAAGGATTTTGTATACCCTCGACTACCTTCAAAGCTTCTGCTACCTGATTTAAACGATAGAGACAATAAGCTTTCTCAAAGTCAAGATTTCTAAAAAAGAGGTATGATAACATTTATAAATAATTTTTTTCTATGTATGTAAAAATATTAAATATAATTATAAGTAATTGTCATACATCGCCAATTTTTGATTTTTTGTTATCAATTGCAATCCTTCACTAAACTTAGATAATTGAATATAACAGATGACTTTACAATGAAATGCAGCTTCCTCATCTTGCATACTGTCTAGAACTATGATAAAAACAAAAAATAATATAAAATTTTAACACATACCTTCAAATAATATTTCTTTCTAAAGAGATTCTGATAATAAATAACTGAACAAAATATTTATACAATACTCGATCTGTTAATAATAACATGTGTAATATAAGTGTTATCATAAGAAAGAACATAGGTTATGTTTTGTATAATTATCAAATATTGTCGAATATAATTTTATATTTATACAATTTTAAAGACATGCTATAATTTGAAATGTACATACTTCTATTAGCAGCTTTCAATGCTCTTTCATATTCTGCATTTTGCCCTAATTTATTTAATTCCGCGTATAACGCAGAAATATTGCTTTCCTTCGAAGTCATATTGTCCACTTGACAAATCTGACAACGTGGAACTTATAATTAATAGGATTGGATAGTGTAATGTGTAGGAAGATGATTTTTCGAAAATATTAAATAATTATAAATCGTTGAATAATTTTTTAATGATTTATATATAAAAAAGGGATATTCGCACGCAATTATATTTTAATTCTATACATATATATGCATACTTATTATAAATATTACTCGTATATACATACGATATATATGAAATATATATATATAAACATAAATATATATACACATATATATCGTATAAAAAATGTTTACACGAACACGATGATCACCAAAGGTAAATGGTAGTTTTTGTTTTTTTCTTATTATTTCCGTGAAATAAGTCTGTATTGAACATTCATTGTATTTATATATATATATACAACGGTTGCGTACGTTGATTATTTACCATTTGCCACCTTTCTTTTTTTTCTTTTGCTGAACTTTACGTTGTTGTTGACGTGGTCCAGATACTTCCACGGTAGTATTATGTCGAGGATTAGGGGAAGGCTTAGTATTGACAGGCATTTTTGTAATATCACTACAAAACGTAATATAATCAAATATTAGATGGACGTTCTTAATTATTTTCTATCAAAAAAATTTCAACTCATAAATAATTATTTACGTACTATAGATCACTTGCACCAGTTGCCACACCTTGCGTACCCTTCATTGCTACATCTCGATTTCTTCTATCTCGCTTCTTTCTGAAATTACTACGTTCGTGCCTTGGTAACCATCTCTCAGGATCGGGAGGAACATTTGGATCGTAATTCTTCGGTAATTTTCCTTTACGCTTGCGAGTTTTACGTTTCTTTAATGTCTGGTCCACAATTGGTTTACTATACGTAGAAAATGAATATTTGATATACGGGTTATACAATTTACTTTGTAAGATGAATCAACGACAGACGATGTAATTAAAAATTACTAACCCAGGAGAAGGTTCTACTTTCTTTCGGACAACTTTTGTACCAATAACCCAATTGCTACTTTCTAATGCGTCGACATTTATCGTTTCTGCGAGATCGTGTAGCGGTGGTAACCTTTTGTACAAAAGGTGAGCTTTCGCAGGACAAAATTGTACATAGGCTACTACTAATTGTGCCAGAGTTTTCGTATCGGATGGAGACGAGTCTACTAATTCCTGCAATATATCTGCAGCAACCTGAATTTCTCCACCACGTAGATAAAAGTCAGCAGCTTGTCGCCATAAATCGCCTAAATTTGTTGTGGTTGCCTAAAAAATAGAATCAATTTTTTTTGTAACAATTTATATACCAAACAAGCGCTTACGTAATTAATATTTAGTTTTCTACAAACTTTATACCTTATGTTTTTTATAATAATTTACTGCATTTTTCAATGCAGCTGACGCTCTGTCCCTATTATTGTCTGCCATATGAAGAGTAACGAGCGCACTAACTACGCCAGGCAACGATCTATCAGATTCTGACAAATTCTCGAGTATGTTAATGGCCTCTTTTCTTTCGGTATGACTCAAAAGAAGTTGAACTGCAACTAGTTTCATTTGCAATTCCTTTTCAGCAGTTGCATACTCCAATAATAACTTAGCTGCATCTTGAGATTTACCATCCTTGCTAAGTTGAATAGCTTTTACAAACATTGCATCTGCTGCCAAAGCTGGATGATCTTTTGCAAGTTTATTACACAATTGTTGACATTGTTCTCCCTATAAGTCAGAAATTAATTCATAATATATAGAAACATAACTAAAGTACATGTCCACTAAAACTACTTGTTAATTATCTCTATTACCTGATCGGTATATAAGGCTAATAAACATTGATTGTATGCTATAGTTCTTCTTTGCCTTGAAGTCAACTTATGCTCCAAACTTTCGTGCGTGGCACTTTTCATTCTTTTCTTACTATCAAACACGTTTTGATCTTTGTTCAAACAAACGAGATTATTGCTTGCTACGGCGACTAACGCAATGTCATTTGGTTTTGATTTCAAAGCAGCTGTGTATAAAGTTTGAGCTTCTTTCTCACGTCCTAGGAGTTGCAAGCAACATCCTAGTTGTACTCTTATAATCCCAAGTTCATTTTCTATTTCTTCCTCTGTGGCTCCATCCTCTTCTAAACCTTCCTTACACATTTTTTCTGCTGCTTTCAGTTTCTTTTCTGCTTCTACCAACATACTCTTATCATTTAAATTTCCAAGCGCAATCAATTGACAAGCTGCATTATATGTTAACTCATAAGTATCCTCTTGCAATGATGGAAGTTCCATAGACTGAAAAATTATATTAAAGAACATTGAATCAATTAAATAAAAGCAATGAATATTTCCATAAATAATATACATCCAAAACTCACTGAATTTTCAATTGTCAAATTCACAAGAACTGCAGCTAGATTAGTTTCTCTCTCGTCTGCATATTCATCGTCTGAATTTTTTATAATGTCTCTGTAAATGGTGAAACATTCCTCGTATTTTTCAAGTCGATATAATATTTGTGCTTTCAATTCTTTTACTTTTAAAGAAGGATTTTGTATACCCTCGACTACCTTCAAAGCTTCTGCTACCTGATTTAAACGATAGAGACAATAAGCTTTCTCAAAGTCAAGATTTCTAAAAAAGAGGTATGATAACATTTATAAATAATTTTTTTCTATGTATGTAAAAATATTAAATATAATTATAAGTAATTGTCATACATCGCCAATTTTTGATTTTTTGTTATCAATTGCAATCCTTCACTAAACTTAGATAATTGAATATAACAGATGACTTTACAATGAAATGCAGCTTCCTCATCTTGCGTAATGCCTAGAACTAAGATAAAAAAAAAAGAGAGATAGAGAGAGAGAGGATAAGATTATAAAACGATTTAAATTCCTCGATAACCTTTTAATAATTTATATATATATATATATATATAAAAGAAAATATTTACTTTAAAAGAAACTCTGATAATAAATTGCTGAATAAAGTATTTTATTAATAACATGTGTCATAAATGTTCCCGAAAGAGAAAACATAGGTTATGTTTTGTTTAATTATAAAATATTGTAGTATATAAGTTTATATTTATACATTTCTAGAGACATGCGATAATTTGATATGTACGTACTTCTATTAGCAGTTTTCAATGCTCTTTCATATTCTCCATTTTGCCCTAATTTATTTAATTCCGCGTATAAAGCAGAAATATTATCCTTCGAAGTCATATTGTCCACCTAACAAATGCGACAACGTGTAACTTACAATGAATAGGATTGGATAGAATAAAGAATAAGAATGTGATTTTTCGAGAATATTAAATAATTTTAAATTCCTCGATAACCTTTTAATAATTTATATATATATATATATATATATATATATATATATATATATATATATATATAAAAAAGAGATGATTACAGAGAATAGTATTTTAATTATTAAATAAACATTTATATAGTAACACATAAGTTTATTTCGTTTATCATATCAAAACGTGTTTGTATTGACTTTGATTATGTAGACACATACATGCATTATGCCTACATACTCAAGAAAAATTTTTTTTTCATATACACATACGAATTTCAATTGAGAGATACATGGAGTTCAATGTTTGATTAAGATGAAATCTAAGGAAGGGGGCGTCCTTAGAAACAGGGATTTCAAAACAAAGCAAAAAACAAAATATAGAGTTTTTTTTTTTTTTTATGGTAGAATTATAGCTTTATTTGTAAAAAAAATTCAAAAAGATACTCATATCATAATTTTATCATTTGAATTCATTTAATTATTTACTTTTATAAGGTCGACGATTGTATTAATATGATTGATCTTTCTCATTTTAAATTTAATGCAATAATGCCAATTTCTTATTATCTAAGAAACACTTCATCAGGTTACCTCCCTTTTGGCATAAAGTGTCGCCATCTGCAAAATTATAATGTCATTAACTATTGATATATCAACAATGGATCGAAACGATAAAATAGAAAAATAAAATGGTATGAACATTAAATATGAAATATATATATATATCGGTAGTTTACAATTCAATTATTAATATAAATACTTACTTATGTTTTTACATTTTTGAAAGATTTCTTCAACTTTGTCTTCTGGAAGACTATCGTATAATCGACTTCTTAAAACTTCTTCGTTAATATTACCTTCCGAATTAAACTATTACGAAAAATATCAAATTTTTTACAATTTTCTTTCTTTCTTTTTTACTATTTTTTACTATTTTTTTCTTTTTCTATTTAAGAATATACTTACAATGCCCAATTTTTTTACAAAACAAGCAGCAAAGCAGGATAATTTTTCATCGCCTTCAGAGACATTGCCATTCTTTGCATTTTCTACGATAGCTATAAAACGTTTTAATAAAAGAAAATTTTAATTTTTTATATATATATTATTTTATTTATAACGAACGTATTTTATTTGTTATTTTGCATATGTATATAATGTAAAATTATTCGATTAAAAAAGTTGGATTATATATATATATATATATATTTCCTGAGAGATTTAGAAAGAAAATTAAGTTATAGAGAAAAATCAATTAAGTTATACGAAAAAAAAAAACAAAAAAAAAATGTTTTATATTAGTCAGAAAATAATCGATAATTTAGACTTGGATTATTTTAATTTCGTAAAATAATAATCAAATCTTATTTGATTACCAGGATCAACGCCAGATTCTGTTATACAAGATTCCTTATATTCCTTAAGTTTAGCCTTTTGTTGATCGTCTAATCCCTACAAAATATTATAGAATAATGTAATATCAAAGATGTTCGTCAACATGTATGAAGTAAAAAGTAGATAAAGATGAAGAAAAAGAATCGTAATTCTCATAATCATTTTGAATTATCAAAAGAGAGTTGTATCTAAGAAAGTATGAAATATAAGAATGAAAAAAACAAAAAAAAAAAAAAAAAAAAAAAAAAAAAAAAAAAAAAAAAAAAAAGGAAAGAAAAATTATCTTACCAAAGTTCCAACGATGAGAGCAAATATGAAAGCAACGATGAACTTCATATTGATGCTTTTCTCGAGATCGAGGTCGGGAAGTTTACTGAACGATCGTCGAATCTTCTCTTCTCTTTTTATACTAAAGAGCTCGATCATAAATCCTATAATCATCGAATACGCGCTGCCTTCCTGAAGTCTTTAGTGGGGATGTATCTGGAAAAAAAAGAAAGAAAGAAAGAAAGAAAGAAAGAAAGAAAGAAAGAAAGAAAAAATATCTTCTGACGAATTATCTTTCGAATATCTTATTTTTCCAAAAAGAAAAAAAAAAGAAGAAGAAAAAAAGAAATGAAAAAAAGAAAAAAAAACAAAAAAGAAAAAAGAAAGACTATCTTACCGTATTCTCGTTTTTATTTTCATATATTGCCATCGTTATTTCTATCATTCTTCATATCGAATAATGTGAATATAATTAATACTTCTCATTATATTCTTCGTAAGGTAATTACAATGACGGATTTATTCGCAAACGACGAAAACGGTTCCTTTAAAGCCAAGGTCTCCTCCCCCTTTTATTTATCATACGGAGTAACATAAATTTATATTACATTATAATAATAAATTTCATTGAATATTTCTGATGTACGATACATATATAAATATTTATTTTCTATTTATTTTATCATTATTATTATTATTATTATTATTATTATTATTATTATTATTCATATTTGCGACTACAATCGAATTTGATCAGTGTATATTTTTTATTCTCATTATCATTATTCATATGAACACTTGAAAACATGAAACATATATATTATAACGTAAATGATATGTTTTAATCAACGTAGAGATAAAAAAATTTCTAACGTCTGTTGGTATTCTCTTTTAAGGTCAAATATGCCACTGATTACGAATATAACTATTTATTTATTATTGGCAGAATGAATCGTTTCTATAAATGGTTTTATAAAAAGAAATCTATGATTTCATAAGAAAAAATAGCATAAAAGAGTTTTTCATTTATCATTAATGATCATTATAAAATCAATGAGGATTATTAAAAATATAATTTTAAATATTCAATAATTCTTTAAATTGGATCCATGTCGTTCACGAATAACGAATTTCATAATAGTATTATATTGCCGATAATAATAATATTTCGTATTTATTGAATACATTATTGGTAAAAGGCTGTTATATCATGCTTACCTTGAAAACAACAAATCAATGTTTGAATATCATTAAATTGGTTCTTCTTAATATTCTTCTTAATATTCTTGATTCTTCTTTCTATGATTTATTTGATATAATACAATGTAGTTATTATTGATTTAAAAAACGGTTAAATATTTTTTACATAATAATCTTATGGCATAATAAAAATATATTTGTTATTTATTATTCTATTTACATATATTCGTTGTAATATTTTATTATATTAATTTTCTCAAAGTTTATCTCTCGAATCATTATAAAATAAAACATTGATATAAGTGTTTTAACAATTACAATGTTGAAACAATCGAATCGTAATGTAATTTTAATTTTTAATTTAAAAAAAAAAAAAAATAAAAAAAATGTAGATCAATAACATAACTTTTAACTAAATTTTGTCTTGCTATTTTTTTTTAAATTAAACATTAACTACTGTAACGAGGAAACGTGTATTAATTATATATGGAAATGAAGAATTAATTAATTAAAGATGGCGCGTTTAGTTTGCAAATAAGTCGATAATTAAACGATTTTATTAGAGAAAAATTGTTCACTATAATCGTTTATCTGATATTTCCTTCATAAATAGATATATAAGGTGAATTGAATTATCTTATGTATTTAATTAGAACTTAATTGCTTTTACAATTTTCATTATTGACGGACTTTGAAATCAATCTTTTATAAAAAAAAAAGGTATTTATTAAAGAAAATAATGAACTGATCATATTCTATTTGTATTCATTTTTTTTCAATTTGAAATTTAAAAGTTTTTACAATATTATAGAATTATATAAAATAGATTTTTTTTTACTGATTTCCGAAGAAAACATTTAAATGATAAAAAAAAGTATACGATGTCAATGTCAAGAGCACATGTATATATGTTCCATCATATATATACATGATATACGTATATATATATATATATATATATATATATATATATATATATATATATATATATATATATATATATATATATATATATATATATATACTTATTTTGCTGATGATAATACTCATTAGTAACAGTTCACTAGCGTACTCTATATTAAGAAATAGAAAGTATCTGAATAATCACAGTTATCCACAGTAGATAATATGAAATTATCTTATGAAAAAAGTAAACTTAATTTTCTCAAATAAGTTTTGTGGAAAGTTGATAAAAAAAAATGTATATTATTTTTTAAAATTTCAGAGCTTCGTTATGTCCTCGTATAATGCGATAATAAATTTTTTATGTTTAACATATTTTTAAATTTATTTCATTATACGTATTTCGTCATAAAGTGAAATTTTATAAAATGCCATCAAGGGCAAAGTGCATAAACATAATGCCATTCCAAGATACTCAATACAACTGGACAGATGATTTACCTGTTTGTAAACAATCTGGTATGTATTTAAAAATTTTTTACTTTGTTACTTGTTTATATTTCAATTAACATTGTTAATTGAGTTTTTATTCAATTAAAATACATGTGTATTAATAGGATTAGTATATTCTAATTATTCATTTGACATACAATAATAAATATTATGTTTATATGTTATATGTTCAATTGAGTTATGTATAAAATAATATTAAGATATAAAATAAAATAATATTATCATTTAGGCGTAGGATTTTCTACAAATCAAATTTATCGTGAAGATGGATATCGCCAAGAGGAACATCCATTTGAAGATCGTAGCTTTCATTGTAAATATGATGATACTACTTTCCTCTATGGTGTATTCGATGGTCATGAAGGGACAAAAGCTGCTAATTTTGCTATGCAACGAATGGCAGCAGAGATTTTACTTGGACAATTAGCTGGCAAATCTACAGATGAGGAAGTAAAGGAAGTTCTTAGGTAAATATTAAAATCTAATAACTTGAAGAATATAAGTATTTTTTATTAATTCATATTATATTTCAGACAAGCATTTATATCAGTAGAACGTGGATATTTGGATTCAATAGGTGATTTATTAGCCGAACGTACTAGTTTACAATTTGATATTCCTGATGGATTGAATTCTTATGAAACTTATCAAAAATTTCCTCATTTGGTTAGTGATCTTATTAAATATAATATTCTCATATAGATTGATATATGTAATTTATTTATTAATAGGTCGACAAGTTAAATTCATTAAATTGTGAATTATCAGCTGGAACAAGTGCTGTAGTTGCACTTGTATATGGTGGAAGATTATATGTTGCAAATGTTGGAGATAGCAGAGCTTTATTGTGTAAAACAGATGATAATCAAGTATTAAGAGTTATTCAGTTAAGCGTCGATCATGATTTACGTAACGAAGATGAACTTCTACGATTATCTCATCTAGGTTTAGATACAGATTCTATTAGACAAGGTGCGTTCATTATAAATACAGGAGGCACGTATGTAAAAATTATATATATTTTTTATACATACTATAACAAATCTGTTTCAGAAAAATTATTAAGAGCTGTCAATGATATTTAAGGTTCTCACCTTGGAAATCAAGAAAATACACGTTGTCTTGGAAATTATCTTGTTAAAGGTGGATATAGAGAATTTGAAGAATTAGGATCTGCCAAAGCAGAACCTATTATAGCAGAACCAGAAATTCATGGTGGAATAGAGTTAGATGATTCCTGTAGATTTTTATTATTAATGTCTCGTGGTCTTTATAAATCATTGGAAGAAGCAACAGGGACTGATCAAGTAAATAAAGAATTGGCTCTTATGGCTGTTGAACAGGTATTTAAAATTAGAAATTTATATTATAACATCTTAGAAGATTGTTTTTATATATATTGAATATGATAAAATCATTATTAATTTTAGTTTCGCATTCAATCAACATTGACGGGTGTTGCTCAAGCTGTAGTTGATAAGATTGTAAGAATTCATCATGACGTTAATATGAGTAACTCGCAAAGTACTTTAACTACCGGAAAACGAGATGACATTACACTTCTTGTACGAAATTTTAATTTTCCTCTACCACATGCTTTAAAGAGTCCAACGGGTCAAGCGGTCAGATTTAATCCAATAGTTCAAACTGCACCGATAAGTACATTAACGGATAACGACGATTGTTCAAATACAAGTTCCGTTGTTATGGAAACAAATTTTGATATATCAACGAGTGAAACATCAACTGCATCCGATGTAACTTCGTCTAGTGGAAGGCCAACAGATAGAAATGCAAGAATAAAGTCTTACGTTAATTTTTCGGAATATTTTGAAAATGTAGAAAAAAGAAGAAAAGAGGGAACTTTGCCAGAAGGAATAAATTTTTAGTATTATAATAAATAAACTCGAATACAATTATCTTATATATATATATATATTACTAATAATAGCTTTGTATATTGCTTGCCGTATATTTTTTTTTTCTGTGTTCATTTTATTTTATTTTAATTTTTTTCTCTTTCCTTTTTTTCTTTATAAAATGTACCATAAATGAAATACAGGAATTTTCGTATAAGTATCGCTAACTTATTTATTTTATTATTTATTCCATTTGCACTAGTGATTGATCACATTTATATAGATTTATAATAATTAATGGTAAAAAAAATAATATTGGAAGCTGTTAATTTTGAAAAGAAATCGTTTGCATTCGTTGTAACAGCAAGTAGACATATACAGTCTGGTATAACATGATTTTGAGCATGATCTGGAAAAAAAGAAGAAAAAAGAAAACCAAAAATAATGTTATTTTACCATTTAAAATATTATTTTACTTATTTAGAAATATATTTATATAAATATTTATGGAAAAAATTTTGACATTACTTGAATAAATATATCTGACAATTTAATTCAAAAAACATATTCTTTCACAGATATTTAGTTGGCATAGTTTTTAATCTTTCAAATGCGGCCTTTTCAAGACATTCCCTATGATCAGGATGTGCTATCTGAATCAATGCATTAGCTCTTTGACGTAACGTTTTACCAAATAATTGAGCAATACCATGTTCCGTTACAACGTAATGTACATGTGCTCTTGTAGTAACGACTCCAGCACCTATAAATTAATTTTATATTTTTCATTTATTCTAATTATTATTTACTCAGATTCCTTTAGATTAAAAATGATATTGTAATCTTTATTAAAGCTTACCAAGTTTTAATACTGCTTGTATTTTGCTTTCTCCTTTGCTTGTAATAGATGGGAATGCTATAATAGCTTTACCTTTACCATCTTGGCTTATTGCTGCACCTCTTATAAAATCAAGTTGACCACCAAAACCAGAATACATTTTACATCCCAAACTATCAGAGCATACTTGTCCAGTAATGTCCATTTCAATGCAAGAATTAATGGCAGTCATTTTTGGCTGCATAGATATAATACGTGGATCATTGACGTAATTAATCGCCAGCATTTCTGTTAAAGAAAAATTGTACATATTAAAGATGATCGTTTACTTATCTTAAAATCCAAAGTAATTAAATTTTAACTTACCAACAAAAGGATTGTTATGCAAAAAATCGTAAAATCTTTTAGTACCAATTCCTAAAGAACCAACTAAACGTCCTCTATGTTTGAGCTTATTCTTATTTGTTATTATCCCTCTTTCAACAAGATCCACTATTGTATCACCGATTATTTCGGAATGTATACCAATATCTTTATGATTGACCAAAGCGCATAATACAGAATCTGGAATGTTTCCTATACCAAGTTGTAAAGTTGCACCATCATCTACCAATCTGTGCGCTATGAATTTACCAATTTCTAATTCGATTTCGTTAGGCTGAGTACTTGCTATACAAGGTAATGGACAATCATATTTGACTGCCCAATCGATGTGACTAGAATGTATAACAGTATCGCCAAATGATCTTGGCATATGTTCATTGACTTGTGCTGTAAAAATCAAATGAATATTCTTTATAAAATTATAATCTTAAAATAATAAAAAGTAATAAATATCATTTGAACTACCAACCAATTATGACTTTGGCTGTACAAACAGCAGCGCGTGTACAATCCACGCTAACGCCAAGTGAACAAAATCCACGTGGATCTGGTGCGCTAACGTGTATCAAAGCAACATCAGGTACAATTCTTTGCTCGTAAAATAGTTTTGGTGCTTCGTGTAAAAATAATGGAATACAATCTGCTCTACCCTCATTAACGGCATCTCTAACGTTTGCGCCAATGTAAAAACTAATTGATCTAAAATGTTCTTAAAATAAATAGAATGATGTTTATCAAATTTGAACGTAAATATAATAAATGATATATCATCGTGATAGTAATTTTCTTTTATTAATTATCATACTTTCAAATTCGGGATTGGCAAAGGGTGCATCACCCTCCAAAGCCATATGTATCAATCGTACACCACGTAAATTATTACATACACCATGTTCGGTCATAGCTCTTACTAATTCCAACGGAGTAGCTGCACCTCCTTGTATAAATACTAAATGTTCTGAAATAATAAAATTCATCGGGGTTTATAAATTAAGAAGCTAAAGTCTAACTCGATATAAACAAATAAAATGATTTATCATTAATAAAATTAAATATCGCCCAATGAAAAGAATATTATCGTTTACCTGAATTTATTATTTTTATAGCATCTTCTACACAAACCCATCTTGGACAACGTTTTAATGGTTGAAATGGTTCCCGTATATGTCTTAGACCACAGGCATTGAATGGTTTTTCTGGTCGTAATTTTTTAATCGTTGAATCAATATTTCGTAACATTTTTTTTTACGAATACGATAAAAAAAAAATTATAAAGTATGAATAATATATTATGTCAATATAGACTTTATAAATTTTGTTTGGCAAAATTGATCATGCCATATAATTACATATAAATTTAGATAAATCATGCTCTAAAATTCCATCAATGACAAACGTAAATATACCGAGACTTATGCCGTTACCATCTCCACGATTGCTATTTGAAAATCGCGTATACTGGCGTTTGATTTTTCTTTAATCATCATAGTAGGCTTATGAAATTTCAATATCGATCATCTCATGATTAAATTCGATATAATAGTTGATAATATCTTTTTTGTTTTTTTGTTGTTTTTCGTTTTGTGTTTTCTAATATTATTATTATTAATTTCTTATAAAACGAAATCTTAAGGATTACTCCACGACGGTGAATTTGGATTTAAAAAGAGAAAAAAAAAAAAAAGTGTTTTATATCAATAATTTACAAAAACTTTTAAGGGCGGATTTTTTTATGATGTAATAAAAATATTATAAAATAATTATATGTGAAATAACATTAACGTGAAATTTTTTAACATTATGTATTTTTTTCGAATACGATGGACTCCTTCATTTATTACAATTAATATATTTAAAGAAACTGTATATAAAAAATGTTTACATGGAAATATTTAATGTGCTTCAAATGCTATAATTCCAGTTTAAAAAATTTCTTATTTTTAAATTTAATATTGTCTGTAGGACACATTTTGAAATAATTATTTAACATGTATAATAAAATGGCGAAACAATGTGTTACAAATATGACGTCATAATTTGTTGCGGATTAAAGCTGTACATTTCTTTTGTCGTTAATATTCTTATAATATTTATCTCTGTTCAATAAAAAAATATTGAAAAGAAGAATTAGAGACAATAAATGATGTTAAATTATTTTATATGTATATAAATGTTTATGTGTGCATATATATATACATATATATATATATATACATATATATACACACACACACATATATATATATGTATATATTATGTATAACTTTCCATGTAAAATTCGTGCATAATTTATGGTGCCGGCATTACTTTTAAACGTTCAAACGCAGCTTTTTCTAAAGCTTCTTTATGACTTGGATGTGCTACTTTAATTAATTCATATGCTCTTTGTTGTAAACTCTTTCCGAACAAACTTGCGATTCCTTGTTCAGTTACAACATAACGAACAACTGCTCTATTAGTAACTACACCAGCACCTATTAAAAAATTATTCGATGTTAAATAATAAATGATATATAATGACATTTATTACTTTGTTATAAATACTTGCCTAATTTTAATACTGGCAAAATTTTGCTTTCACCCTTTTTAGTCATTGATTGTAAAGCTATGATTGGTTTCCCACAATTATCATCTGCCATAGCTGCTCCACTAATAAAGTCTAATTGGCCACCAAAACCTGAATACATTCTAGTCCCGATACTATCGGAAGAAATTTGACCAGTAAGATCGACTTCTATGCAAGAATTAATTGCTGTCATTTTAGGTTGTTTGGCAACTATTTTGGGATCATTAACATAATCTACCATTAACATTTCTGTAAGAGGAATATTTTTTAATTAATATAAAATCATAATGACAATGATGTATAAAAAGTAAATGATTAATAAAAAATTTGTAAACATACCTATAAAAGGATTATCATTCATAAATTCGTATAATTTTTCTGTTCCAATACAAAATGATCCTACTATACGACCTTTATGCATAGTTTTTTGGTTATTTGTTATGCATCCTTTTTTTACAAGTTCCAAAACGCCATCACTGAACATTTCACTATGAATACCTAGATCCTTGTGATTAGTTAAATTCGATAGTACTGCATCAGGGATGCTACCAATACCCATTTGTAACGTGGCACCATCTAAAACTAAATTTTCAGCAATATTTTTGCCAATTTGTTCTTCTTCTTTTGATGGCTTCTTTGTGGGATGCATTGGCAATTGTACATCATGGTGTACAGCATAATCTATATGACTGATATGTATTATACCATCCCCAAATGTCCTTGGCATATTTTTATTTACTAATGCTATAAAATAATATAAAATTATTTAAATTTTCTATTGGAGTAACGTTAATAAAGATTAATTTAAAATTTTGAAAATTTACCTACGATATATTTGGAATTACTCATAGCAGAGCGCACACAGTCTATGCTAGTTCCAAGAGAACAATAACCATGACAATCAGGTGGGCTTACATGAATTAGAGCAATATTAGGTTTTATGTATCCCTGCTTAAATAACTTTGGAATTTCATGTAGATATATAGGAACGCAATCTGCATTACCCTGATTAACTGCATTCCTTACATTGCCACCAATGAATAAACTCATGGATCTAAAATGCTCTATGTACAAATGAAGTTTTCCTTAGATCATCAAAGTGCTATCTTGTTACATTAGCTTACACTTTTCTTACTGATGACGATTCACAAATATTTCAATGAGTTTTTAAATACTAAGTTGTCAAATAACTTGATATGAATTTTTGTAAAAATAACTATGAGATCCTGTCAGCTTCATACTTGCGTTCTCTGGTTTAGTAAATGGTGCGGGTCCTTCAAGGTGCATATGATATAAACGTACATTTCTCACGTCACACCGCACTCCATAGTCGGTCATTGCTCTTATTAACTCAATTGGTGTAGCTGCTGCTCCTTGGATAAATACTATCTGATCTATATACAAATAAATATAATATATTTCATTTAAACGTCAAATTAATTTCATTAACAATATACAAATATGATAACAAAATATATTATATAATAATATCAAATTTAAAGTAACATTTATAAGTTTATTTTAAGTGAACATAATAAAACATTATCACGACATTTTTAATAACATTTGAATAAAATTACTTTGATAATCGCATATGCATGTTTTCATCCATACTGATATAGATATATAAGGTGCATATCTGTCAAGGCTTAGTATGCAAATTTACAGAACAAAAATAGATATATACAAAATTTTCTTATATTAAATTGATACGTTACTTAAATATAATATTATAATTTGTTGGAAAAAAATTTTATAAACCATGAATAATCGATTCTTAACGTTAACCGAAATAACCGAACGTTTAAAATTGATCATTGTTATATATAGCAATTTTACACGCACACACAGATTGAAAATATCAAAATATGTATATACTTATATACCTATATACTTAAATACAAATACTTAAGTTTCTACTACATATTTATGCATATATATATATTTATTTATTTATTTATTAATTTATTTATTTATTAATTTATTTATTTATTTAATTCGAAATACGAATAAATAAAACTCGAATATTTAATTAACATTGTCTTTGATTTATTCATGAAGAAAACTTACATAACACAATACCCGCGATCATAAAATCTAAACTATCTAATTTTTATTGCCTGTTAACGTACGAATATGTAGAATATAATTTATAATAATAATAATCAAAAAAAAAAAAAAAAAAAATTAAAAAAAAATAGAAAGAAAGAAAGAAAAAGAAAATTGCACGAGCATATAATCGTTTTCAATTGAACGGATATATATGTATATGTAGATACTATAAAACATTGAATCATCTATTAGCCTCCATTGCCATCGTGACATGATCAAAATACATACATATATATATATATATACATATATACATATGTTTACATACGATACGTGTTATGAAAGATTTTCTATTCTTCTTTTCATCCATTATAAACGTATATGTATACTTTTCGATCAAATAAATTACATATATATATATATAAATATAAATAAATAAGTAAATAAAATTCTTGATTTTGTCTCTAAGTAGTTCGAATTAGATTAAACTGCAATAATAAATTCAATAGATATCAAAGCTTAAATAGAAAATATTTTTATCGTTAATTTATATCAATGATATGAAATAAAAGTAGAAATTAAAATATTTGTGTATTATGAAATAATGACCTTCATCAATAGTTTGACATGACTTTCTTTTTCTTCTTTTTTTTTTCTTTTTTGTTTTTGTTTTTCTGATATAAACCTCATTAATAGTTAGTTTATATCTCTTTTAATGATAAAATTACAAGAAAGTAAATAAATTAATATTCTTATATAATGTAAATACTTATATAATGTAAAAAATGAATTGGAAGTTTAAATTCAATTTAAAATGATATATTACATTTGTTCGAGATAATGTGACAAACAACGTGTGATAATAATATCTTTTTTTTTTCTATTTTTTTTTTCTTTTTCTTTTTTTCTTCCCTTTTGTTTTCCTCTTCTTTCCTTTTTCTCACGTTTCTTATCAACGTAAATGTAAATATATCTTTTCTTCAATTACATTTAAGTTTATCTAAAGTAAGTAATATAGCAATAAATGGGTAGGGGTGGGGGAGGGGGAAAAGGGCGTAAATATTTTAATAAATCTCAAAACTCATTGAAAACAGGATTGGGCATTTGAACGTACGAATTAAGAAAAAATAATAATAAATAAATAAATAAATAAATAAATAAATAAAAAAGAAAGGAGAAAAAAGAAAAGAAAAGAAAAGAAAGAAAAAAAATATTTTCCTTTAATTGCAATTTATATGTTTTATATATATATATATATATAAAATAAGAAAGAAAAAAACCATACAAATAAATAAAAGAAAATTACAATACGCATGAATTACGATCACGATTAAACAAAATGGAAGATATTAAACGGTAACACGGCAAATAATATCACGTTTATTCCCTTGTTCAAATTTTCTTCTTTTTATCTCTTCTTTTCTTCTCTTTTTCTTTTATTTTTTCTTCTTTTTTTTTTCTTTTTTTTTTCACAATAATATATAATTATCGAAATAACGAACGTACGAATAACTTTGATAATAATTTGCTAAAAGAAAATGTGTTCTATTTCAATAATTTTGATAAATCAAAAGAAACAGATGTTTTATCACGATTGATATTATGTATGGTTATAGGTCAATCTGTTGATCGATATTTCTACGTTCTAAATTTACGTCATCAGAATTTTTATTAAAATAACGGTCAAGTTTCTAAAATTAAAAATTTTATTAAATATTATTATGATTTCACTTTGTATGTTTCAAAAATATAAATCCTTATATATATACATATATATATACACATACACATACATATATATATATATATATAGACTATAGCCAATCAAACGATACGACTGATAATATTTACATGATACATAAATGAATAAAACAGATACTTAATCAAAATTAATTCATTTTTCTATTATCATAAGATAGGTATAAAAATAAAAATTACCTGAATCAAGATTGGCCTGTTCAATAGCTTCGTCAGCAGTTTTTAGCCAACAGGGTTCCTTTCCTGGTATTGGCATTGATGGTTCGTTTACGTAGGTAAAGTAGTTTTTCTTAATCGCAGGTAGACAAGAAATTCGTGTTGTAGACGTTGTCATAGACGCTAAAGCTTTTGTTAAACCGGTTATTCGTTTGAACGCTGCCATTGTTACGGACTCAGCAAAAATATATATATATATATTTTTTTTTTCTTTTTTTTTCTCCCTTTTTTTCACCCGTTATTTCATTCAATGATTATTACACAATCAAAATATGCCATATATCTATATCGCGTACGTAACGTATGTTATATATATATATATATATGTATATATGTATATATATATATGAACAAATGTTAGAATATGTATGTTAAACGACAGTGAATAAGAGATTTGTCAAAAGAAAATGCGAACGAGGAACGTTTTGAACGAAAGAAACGAAATGAAACGAAAATAGAGCTAGTAAAGCTCTGTCACTTGTCGTTATCACGTTGCGAAGTTGTCTCTTCGTCTTCGTTCGTTCCTTCGTTGTTTTCCTTTTTTTTTCCCCTTTCCTCCTCCTCCTCCTCCTCTCTTTTTCTTATTTTCTTTTTCCCTTTGTCTCACTCTGTCTCTCTCTCTCTCTCTCTCCTTCTCTCTGTCTCTCTCTCTCTTTTTCTATCTATCACTTACGAAACGTACAACACTGTGTCTTACTGCACACTCGCCGCGTCTTCTACTGCGGTTCAGTTTTATTAGAAAACCAGGAACGTATGTATGAGAATGGTCTTCCGTCAAACAAGTCCGCATAAAGAAATAGTCTGTATTTATAACCGTAACCATGATCACGAGTACCCCGTGCAACATTTGAAATTTTTATTCGAATCGTCAAACTTTTATTTGGAGATTAATTAAGGCTTTTCTTGTTTTTTCTTTTTTTTTCTTTCTTTCTTCTTTCTTCTTCTTCTTTTTTTTCTGTCTTTTCTCTTTTTTTATCATTTGTTTAATTTCTCAGTAAAATCTTTTTTTCATATTATAACTCCTTTTTCGTATTTTAATTTTATCGATTTATTATTTCTGAATGTATAACTATATGTATATACACACACACACATATATGGTTATGCATATGATGTATATGATATATATATATAACATATATGTCAATATATGCACCAATTGATTTGATATATACGATATTAGCTTTTATATGTTAATTAAAAATTCAATATAACGTTTAACATTTTTGTTACTTCTTGTTAGGAAATTGTCGGTAATAACGTATGTTTTAAGAAAAAGAAATAAAAAGAAAAAAAAAAACGAAAACAAAAAGGAAAATAAAAAAAGAACAAAAAAAATTATAAAAAAGAAAAGAAAAGAAAATTCGTTTAAAAAATCGTCATTGCTCAGTCGATAACTTAACAAAGTAAAACAAACGAGCTAAAAAAAAAAAAAAAAAGGAAGGAAACGAAAATAATCTCTCTTGATAAATTTCTATCTTTCTCAATATCAACGAGATAATATATTTTCGATTATTTTAAAGAAATAATTTTTACAACGATACGATTTTCTTTTTGCCAAATCGAAATGTCGGTAATTAAAACGTACTATGAGTTACTTAGTTCGTGACACGTGATCCCACGTGCCTTCTCTTCATCCTTGTCACTCGATGTTATAAAATGACTTTTATTTTTTCGGCGTAAAATTTTTCTTTATAAATTAAAAAAAAAAAAAAGAAAGAAACAATAGTATCATCTGTGAGAAATAAATTTTTTACGATTATAACATTCCCAAATGTATTATCAATTTTTCTATATAAATTATAAATTTAACAAATAGCACTGTTTCGATCCTCTCTATGTTCCCCTGCATCCCCTCCAATTCACTCCATCCCGTGACACTCACGTCTGTCTCTCTTTTTATCGACGTAGTAGTAGCAGTATCTTCTGCTACTCAGTGGATTTAGGGACGAAGCAGAGATATTAACGTTTCTTTTGAAGTGAAAAATGTATTCGAAAACTATCGGCAATCGCCAAGCGGTTCAAGAACATGTTTTGGCCGTTTCTAGAGATTTCGTTTCTCAACCTCGACTTAGTAAGTGGGACAATTATTTGTTTATAAAAATTTTTTTAATTTACGATATTAAATCCTTTCGTATCGAAGCATCTACTATAAACTGGGCGTAGCATTTAATCGATTCTACACGAACAAGTCAGCTGATTCCAAAAATTTTAACTATCTTTTTTTTTTTTCCCCCAATTTATTTACATTTATTTATAATTTATTCGATTATACTATAACTTTAACTGTATAAAATTTAATTTTATTATTTCATTATATTCAAATATCATATCAATATTAATTCGAAAATTTTTATATTTTCGGAATCTTTTAACGTATCATGTGACTAAAGATAGCTATATGTTGTCTGTAATTTTGGAACTTTGTGATATTTTAATATCACTGATGTTCTTCGATTTATTCGTAAATATTATATTTTTACGGAAATACGAACAATATATTTTATTAATTACATTTGAACGATCTTTTATGAATAATACGTTTAACCTAAAAATTGTTAATTTTAATATGATAATAATCTATTACAATGATATAAAATGTTTTATAAGCTTACTTAAAATTGTCATTCTTAAATGACAATTATAATATTTTCAGCCTATAGAACTGTTTCTGGTGTCAATGGACCATTGGTGATATTGGATGAAGTTAAATTTCCAAAGTATGCTGAAATTGTACAATTAAAACTGTCAGATGGGTCCTTACGATCTGGACAAGTTTTGGAAGTTTCTGGTTCTAAAGCTGTAGTACAAGTATTTGAAGGTACTTCTGGAATCGATGCAAGAAACACTCATTGTGAATTCACCGGTGATATCCTTCGAACACCGGTGTCCGAGGATATGCTGGGTCGTGTATTTAATGGATCTGGAAAGCCAATAGACAAGGGTCCACCTATTCTCGCTGAAGATTTCTTAGATATTGGTGGACAACCAATTAATCCCTGGTCACGTATTTATCCAGAAGAAATGATACAAACTGGAATTTCTGCTATAGACGTTATGAATTCTATTGCTCGTGGTCAAAAGATTCCTATTTTCTCTGCTGCTGGTCTTCCGCATAATGAAGTAATGACATTTATTTTTTAACCATTTACACAAATTTATACAATATTTATATTTTAACATTTTATAATATATTTTTGATAGATCGCTGCACAAATCTGTCGTCAAGCTGGTCTTGTCAAAGTACCAGGAAAATCAGTTTTAGACTCTCATGAGGATAACTTTGCCATAGTATTCGCAGCTATGGGTGTAAATATGGAAACCGCACGATTCTTCAAACAAGATTTTGAAGAGAATGGCTCTATGGAGAATGTCTGTCTTTTCTTAAATTTAGCTAATGATCCTACTATTGAGAGAATTATTACACCACGATTAGCTTTGACAACTGCCGAATTTTTAGCATATCAGTGTGAAAAACACGTGTTAGTCATTCTCACTGATATGTCTTCATATGCTGAAGCTCTTAGAGAAGTATCAGCAGCGCGAGAGGAAGTACCTGGTAGACGTGGTTTCCCTGGTTACATGTACACAGATTTGGCGACCATCTATGAAAGAGCAGGACGAGTTGAAGGACGTAATGGTTCTATTACTCAAATACCAATTCTTACTATGCCAAATGATGATATTACACATCCTATTCCTGATTTGACTGGATATATTACTGAAGGACAAATATACGTGGATCGTCAATTACATAACAGACAAATTTATCCACCAATAAATGTCCTCCCATCACTTTCTCGTCTAATGAAATCTGCTATTGGAGAGGAAATGACACGAAAGGATCATTCTGATGTTTCAAATCAATTGGTAAGTGTATTAATTATATGATTATATTAAAATGAATATATAAATAATCTTTTTGATTTAGCTATTAGATTTTGTTTCTTCAGAATATATAAATTAATAATTATATTTCAGTATGCGTGTTATGCTATTGGAAAAGATGTGCAAGCTATGAAAGCAGTCGTAGGAGAAGAAGCTTTAACTCCTGATGATTTGTTATATTTGGAATTTTTAACAAAGTTTGAAAAGAATTTCATTTCACAAGGAAGTTATGAAAATCGTACAGTTTTTGAATCATTGGATATTGGTTGGCAATTGCTTCGTATTTTCCCTAAGGAAATGCTTAAAAGAATCCCAACCAGTACTCTTGCTGAATTTTATCCAAGAGATTCTCGTCATTAATTTTTATTAATCCATGATTTAAAGCACCTCGTGTATTAAGTAACCGACCCTAAAACAATAAGAACAGAATACATATGTCTGACATAGTGTCAGTTTTTCATTCGGTTGTACAACTATATATAATTATAATATGTTATTGAAAATAATTTATGCCATTACATAAAAAGGAAAAAAAAATAGATAAAAAAAAACTGTTTTTGTTGGATTATGAAATATGAGATGTATTCTTATATTTAATAGAAGTCTAACATAATTCTTAAATATTAGCGAATCAATTTTAGAATGGTATATGAAATTATATTTTGCATGAAAATACTTTATATGGCATAAAGATGAAATATGTTGGTATATAGAAAGAAATTAGTTTTGAAAAAAAAAAAAAAAAAAATTAAATAAAATAAAAGTGCAATCTTGTTTCAGATTGTTCATTTTTATTCGCAGAAAATTTTAATTGTAAAGTGTAATATATATAATATTCAGTATTGATATAGTGCAGAAGAATATATCTTTGAACATACTTTACATGTGTGCACTGTATTATAATAAGAAATTTTGAAATGCTTTGTGTCCATTCCAAAAAGCTTACATTTAACAGTACCTATGTACAGGTAAATCTACAATGTTATGTAAAATATAAAAATGTATTGTTCATAAATGTATATGTGAAAAATAGAAAATTGAAGAAATACCTTAAAAATGTTTTCCTTTAATATCATATTTTTTTTTTTGTTTAGAAAAATTCAAACAAAATATAGTGAACTAAATAATACACTAGTTCCTAGTAAAAAAGTAACTAGCAAAAAAGGAACAAGATTTTTTTTTTACACATTGCATTAAGCTTATTTAATAATGTTTTCAATATATATATATATATATATATATTTTTTTTTTTTTTTTAATTTATAAAAATATATATATTTTTTAAATTTATAAAAATATATATATATTTTTTTTAATTTATAAAAATATATATATATTTTTTTTTATTTTTTTTTTTTTAATATTATAACATAAAATAACAGACGAAAATGATATTTCAATTTTATTTTCGTAGGTAATTTTCTGTCGCGGCAACTTCAGTAAGGACATCCTTATTTCGAGTTGAGCTTCAACTCAAAACGAAGAAAACAAGGTGGCATATTGTATGATTTTGTACACGTGATTACATTTCGTATGTAGGTATTTTCATACCTATTGAACATTATATTTCAGTGATACAAAAATAAGAAAGAAAATCATTAGAAAAATAAAAGTTAACTAAAGGTAAAGTGAACATTTATATTCCATTATTCATAGATAATTTTTTTTTCTAGTAGGTTATTCTTTTACCGCATAGGTGATTATAATACAATGAATATATATTAGACAATTTTTTAAACATTATAATCTTTTAAAAAATAAATTTTCTTTTTACTTAATTTACGTGCATACGATAAAATGGATGAATATTTTTAATTTATTGAAAATAAAAAAAATGATGTTTACAAAAAGTAAAATGTCCGTCATCAGAAGGTCAAACATACAAAGAAATGTTTTAACGAAATTTAAAAAATAAACATTCTGTTTTTAATTTAAAAATAATCGTTTAATCTAAAACAAATAATACCTATATATATATATATATATATATATATATATATATATATATATAGGATATATAGGGTATATATATATATTATATATATATTGTATATATATATATAATTCTATATATATATATATATATAGAATTATATTTTACATAAATATTTATTCGCATAAAAAATTTATTATTCATACACGAAAAAATATTCAATTTGAGAATACAACGGATTTAAATATATATATATATATATATACACTATCGTTCAAAAGTTTGTAGACACTTATTAATTATAGAAAATTAACGAAATATAATGCATATTATTATTGTTTATCGATATTTTTTCGATAAATCCTATTATAAACATATATTTAATATGTTATAATATTAAATTGCCAAATTTAATTATTCTTTTTGTTTGAATGAATAAAAGTTTTTCCTGTAGTTCAATTATATTTTCTTGCTTTTGAACGGTTTACAAGACTTTATTATTTCATTTTCTTCGATTTTTGTGTTAATTTTTCATGAATTGTATTTCCTGATATGGTCTGCTATTATTTAAAGACATATTTCCAATGATTCAGAATAAAAAAAAGAAAAAGAAAATCACAGATAAAATCATAGCGTCTGCATTATATTTCTATCGAGTTCAATTTAATTTGAATATACGATGAGTACAATAAAAAAAAGTGAATTAAGTATAGAAATGCAAGTCATAGTATTATCCAAAGAAGAATATTTCATAATAGAAATTGGAAAGTGTAGTATTAAAGTCTTGCGCAAGCTATTGTTTTCAAAAGTACAATGCTATATAGGAGTTTGTTCATCCAAAAAAGGATTTGGAAAATCCAGAAAAAGGACCCAAGCAGAAAATCGTCACATTGTAATTATTTCTAAGAGAAATAGAAAAAGTATAGCTCTTGTAATAGCTGCAAAAGTTAATAAGTACAGGAATACAATGATTTTAGTATCAACGATAAACAGGAGTTTTAAGAGGGACGATCTTCTTCATGACCGTGTTGCCGTAAAGAAATCATTGTTTGAGGAAATAAAATAAAAAGAAAAGACTTTAGTATGACATAAAAATTGGACATTAAATGAGTGGTCTGATGAATTCAGATTTGAATTGTTTTGAGTCCAAGTGGCTTGTTTTCGTTCGTCTGCAAATTAATAAAAAATTAATTCACGCTTGTGTGGTACACACCATTAATCGAAGGTATCATTTTGTTATGATATGGGAATATTTTGGCAATAATATGGCGGGAGATTTGATCAAAATCAATGGTATTTTAATGAAAGAAACTTATTTAAAGATTTTGATAGAGCAGGCAATTCTATTTGGACAATAATTTTACATTCATACAGAACAACGACACAAAACATAAAGCTACAAATAGTATGAACTATTTTAGTAGTATGAAATTTTTTTTTTATTTAAAACAAAAAAAAGATTCTAATTTAAAAATAATGAAATTAAAAATCCCAATCTTCTAATTTAAATCTCATTGAAAAACTGTGGGATCACTTGGACATAGAGGTTAGAAAACAAGTCCAAGGATGTCTCTGAGAAATATCTTTGGAAATTTTTGCGAAGTGGAATGGATCAATATTGAAAGTGAGATATTGGAAAATTTAATAGCCAGAATAACACAACTCGTAAACACGACGATATATAGGAGAAAAATATATCATTATTTTTTATTAATATTGATAAGATATTTACTCAATTATTATTGAAATATTTTCTAACATTATAAAAAATAATATACACGAAGTGAATCAAATTTACCAAAGATTTCATAATTTTTTTCAACCAGATATAAGAATAAAGAAAGTGTTCACACTTATGAGTGGTAGTGTGTGTGTGTATATATATATGTATATATATGTTTGTAGATTTTGCAAAATTTTACATGATGAATTATTTTACATTAAATTATACATTGAATTAGTTCATTAAATGCAATTAAAAAATTATATGATGAAAAGTTTAATCACCTGTTAATAATTTTCAATTCATAATGCTACATTGTATAATAATGTTAAAAACAAATCAAATTGTTTTTCTTCCATTTAATTGATATCATATATTCAAATAATTAGATTTACAATTCACGCATGGTTATCATGTCGTACGCTTTCTAATAGCGATCAACCGCAAAGAAAATGGTAAAAGTTGTCACGATTTTCTTTTTTTTTTTTTTCTTTTTTTTTTTTATCGAGGTAATCTATTCTAACATACGTTATACACAAATACATTACATTACAAAAGAACATAAAGCATTACTTAATAATTTAAATATCTCTAAATATGTCATTTAAAGAAAGTAAATTTTTAAGAATGTAAAAATAAATATATTTAATATTTATAATTTATTTATTAAGTAAACTTTAATATTTCTTTAAAAAAATTATATTTATAAGAAAAAGAAAAAACGTAACATAGTAGAAAGATTTTGCCTCATAAAAACATATATATTTATATATATATATATATATATATATATATATATATATACATACACACATATGTATATATATATATAATACATCAGAAACGAATAGGGTGAAGGGGAGGACAGATGGAAGAATCTTAATACATTCTTAACAGATTGACACACAATAACGTCCGGCATAAAACGCTAATGGCTTTCAATAGGATTAATTTATAAGTCGTGCACATACACAAAACGCGCGCGTACGTACGTACAGCATACGTAGACACATACTCATATACAAAAATATGTATGAACACTACCTACCTAATTCGTAACACCATCCACGCTATCTTAAATTACCTTTCGTCGTCTACATTCGTGTAACGTTGACAATGAGGACAGAAATTAAGAAATCGAAGCAATTTGCACGCATCGTCTTACATTAAGTATAGAGCGCAAGAGAGTGAGAGAGAGAGAGACAGAGAGAGACAGAGAAAGAGAGAGACAGACAGAGAGAGAGAGACAGAGAGAGAGAGAGAGAGAGAGAGAGAGAAAGAGAAATATATATTTCGTGCGAAAATTGAAGGTCTTTATATAATACGAAATAAGATATCCTCTTTTTTTTTTTTGCAAATATCGTGCAAAATGAATTTGTTCGATTTAAATTCATTCTTTGTTCTATCCCTTTTTTTTTTTTTTTTTTTTTTTTTTTTTTTTTTTTTTTTTTTTTTTTTTTTTTACGCTAAAGAAAAAAAAATGTTTCTTTCCAATATCGCATTAATTGCGAATATGAAATAATTTATAAAATTATTATCTATCAGCAATTCTCAATTATTTCCACGTTTAAATATATTTTTCATTATACTGTCACAAGGTTTTGCATTATGCGATAGCACGTAGCGTTGCCATCATAAGGTTGATTGGCCGTTCGAAAGTAACGCCATGTTACGTCGACCAATGAGAAGCCAAGCGATAGCAGGCGCGCGAGCGCAGTATCTTTTCAAAATGTAAGCATTTCGATTTGCAGTTATTTTTTCTTTTGTTTTCTTTTTGTTTCTTTCTTTGTTTCTTTTTTTTCTTTTTTTTCTTTTTTTTTCTCTTTTTTCTTTTTTTTTCTTTTTTTTCTTTTTTTTTTTTTTTTTTCTTT